ATTTACTGCACAGAAAGAGAAAGGATAATCCGATTTTGCTCCAACTTTGCAAATCCTAATATTTGCATCAGTGCTAGGTCAGAAGCGAAAATGGACAATATCGGTCAACTCCATCAAGTACTTCTCCCAGAAAGGGTCAAAGTTTTGAATAATTTTAACTTTTATAAAATGTGATGTAAGCATTCGATTGTCTTCAAATTTCACACATCCCAATAATTTTATTGACCCAAGGTCTGGTGGTGGTGGAATACATCGGTCCACTCTCACAATAGGTCAAAATTTCGGATATCATTCAGCCCATAAAACACGAAATTAACATCCGATTCCATTCAGACTTGGTACATCTCAATATTTCTATCATTACAGGATCTGCTATAAATGCGGCAGAGATCGGACCATACCTTCTGGTACCTCCCCCACAAAGGGTCAATGTTTTGAATAACAAAAACGTTTATTAAATCCGAAATAAGCATCAGGTTCTCCTTATATTTCACACATTCCATTATTTCTACTAACACAAGATCTGTTGCGAATATGGGATAAATCGGTCCTCTCCTTCCGCTACCTCCCCCACAAAGGGCCAAAATTTTGAATATCCATTTAGCTTATAAAACGATAATTTAACTTCCGATTCCATTCAGACTTGCTACACATCTCAATATTTCCATCAACACAAAAACTGTTATAAAGATGGTAGGGATCGGACCATTTCCCCGGGTACCTCCCACACATAGGGTTCAAGAAATTTGAAAAACAAAACGCTCCAAGAAAGCGAGATAAGCATCCAACTCTCTTCAAATGTCACACATTCAAATATTTTTACTAACGCAAGATCTTTTGTGAAGATGATATATATCTACGAACCCCTTCTGGTACCTCACTCACATTGTTTTGAGAAATATTAATATTCAAAAGAAGAAGAAGTATACAGATATCTTCGAAAAGAAGAGACGTGTAACCTACATTTTTGAAATTTTTGGATGAAGATTTCTTGGAATTCCTTTCGAAATGTGAATAAATATTAAGAAGTATTTTTAATAACCTCCACCATGAAGTTAAGAAATCTATTGAAATATAAGAATCGGAATTAAATATTGCGTTCACTTTCATTTGTGCCAATGAATTCGATTGGTATAATTATCTTAACAATGTCGTAAAGTCAATCGTAACGGTTTCCTGGTTAGTTGCGAGTTTCAAATACCTAAAATGCCCAGAAATACCAGAAATATGTAGAGTTTCGGAGCTCTTTGAGTGCTAAAATAGATAATAAGCCTATACCAGCAGTCTTCTGCCACAAAAGACAGAACCCATTACAGGCTCTGCAATTTTTAATGATTCCCCTGAAAAATGCGACCAAAAAAACTTTTTAATAAAAACAAATTCAACAAATTTTGGTAATTTTCCTTAGACAATCTTTGCTGTGGGAAAACTGAAAATTTTCATCTCAATACAAAAGAAAAATAAAGAAAAGTGTAAACAAAATTATTACAAGTCCACAATAATTGTGATGACAATAAATGCATTTGCATTATCAATCCCATCAGAGTTCGTTGTGTGTGTGTGTGTGTGCGTTTCGTCATACAGCCAGCCGATGTTAAACGAAATCGAATATGTAACTGCTTCTGCTGCTGCAGTTACACAAATACACTTGTGCATGCGGAGGAAAATAACGAATTTGTTCAAATATTCAAAATAAAGTTATGCTACTATCCGCTCTGGCATTGCGGCAGCGAAAAGGCCTACATGTTTGCACAGTGGGGTGGACAACCCAGCAAATACTTGGATGCTGTGTGAGACATATGCACAATTATAAGAAATTTAAAAAAAAAATACCTTCAATACAAGGTGAGATGAAAAAAACTGCAACCAACTTCAGACTGCTGTCATTTCAAAGCCTCTCGTCCGACAGCTGTTAAAATTATTCCAGTAGCACCTCATTATATTGTTTACAAGCGTACAAAAGCATTTTTGAGAATTTTCCAAAAAACAATTTCTCGATGTAATTCAAACGTAGTAGCTGGAAAACCACAAGTGGCATTTAAATGTGAATAAATGTTTTGTGTCTCGTACCATCGCCCGTTACCGTTACCGTGATACTGGTAGCGTAGCCCGACGTCAAGGAAGTGGACGGAAGGAAACAGCAACATCAGCAGAAATGGTTCGAAAAGTAAAGAAGCGACTTGATCGAAATCCGCGTCGCAGTGGTCGAAATATGCTCGTGTGCTGAACATACCGCAATATTCCATTCGGCAAATATTAAAAAATGAGCTCGGGGTAAAGCCATTGAAATTCCAAAAAGTGCAAGAACTTACACCACAACAGAAAGAAAATAGACTCAAAAGATCTAAAGAGTTGCTCTGTTGACCGAAAGTGGTGAATTGCCGAATTTGTTTTTTTTGTTTCGATGAGAAAACATTCGTTGTCCAGCAGTTTGTAAACAAACAAAATGATCGTGTTCACTTGTCAAAGAGGTCAGCTGAAATGTGCACCTTCGGTTGGCCACCAAAACTCAAGCGCCGGCCATGGTCATGGTGTGGGCCTCTATAACAGCCGATTGTCGCTCTCCACTCGTATTAATCGACCATGGCATCAGAATAAATGCCGAATATTATCGCGAAAATATTCTGAAGGATGTACTAAGGCCTTGGGCCCGCAAACATTTTGGCCGCAGAACTTGGACATTCCAACAGGATTCAGCACCAGCGCACTCAGCGCGCGCCACCCAAGAATGGTTACAAAATGAGGTACCTCGTTTCATTTCCAGCGCACAATGGCCACCAAAATCTCCGGATACCAATCCGTTGGACTATTGTGTCTGGAGTATTTTGGAAAACAAGGTTGGGGGATGTACTAAGGCCTTGGGCACGCAAACATTTTGGCCGCAGACCTTGGACATTCCAACAGGACTCAGCACCAGCGCACTCAGCTCGCGCCACCCAAGAGTGGTTACAAAATGAGGTACCTCGTTTCATTTCCAGCGCACAATGGCCACCAAAATCTCCGGATACCAATCGGAAGGACTATTGTGTCTGGAGTATTTTGAAAAGCAAGGTTGGCACTAAAAAATACCAAAGTGTCGATCACCCCAAATAAGCGCTTCGCCGGCTATGGGCCAAAATACCGCAGAGCAACATTTGGGCATCGTGTGATGGTTTTATTGGCCGTTCGAAGGGCAAAAAATTTGATGCTATTTCCGACATTTTTAGCTTTCATTCAATAAAATTTAAAAAAAATGTAAAAATTACTTCCACCATAGTATGGAGGGTATATTAAGTTTGTCATTCCGTTTGTAACACCTCGAAATATACAATTTAGACCCCACAAAGTATATATATATTCTTGATCAGCATAAAATTCTATGTCGATTTATCAATGTCCGTCCGTCTGTCCGTCTGTGGAAATCACTCTAGCTTCCGAACGAAATGAAGTAGGTTGATAAAATTTTACTCAAATGTGTACTATGTCTGCAGAATTTTTGGCATTGAAAATGGGCCATATAGGTCCAGGTCTTCGGATAGGCCCCATATAACTGTACCTCCCGATATTCGGTATTTTGATGATTTTAGCTACATGATTTACCGGAATTGTTTCAAATTTGGTATTTAAAGTTTTTAATAGATACTACAGCACAATGTCCACTACAGTGGGCAATGTAGTCCCACGTTTTCGTATAGCCCCCATGTAACGGTACCCCCCAATATTCAGTATTTTGATGATTTTAGCGACATTATTTACCGGAACTATTTCAAATTTAGTATTTGAAGTTCGTAATGGATGCTACAGCCTATCACAGAAAATTGTCTGTGCAGGACCACGCCTTCGTATAGCCCCCATATAACGGTACCTCCGATCTTTGGTATTTTCATGATTTTAGCGAACCTATTTACCGGAATTGTTTCAAATTTCGCATTTGAAGTTCGTAATTAATACTACAGCCTATGACAGAAAATTGTCTGTGCAGGTCCACGTCTTCGTATAGCCCCCATATAACGGTACACCCCGATATTCGGTATTTTGATGATTTTAGCGACATTATTTATCGGAATTGTTTCAAATTTCGCAGACAAAAAATTTTCTGTGCAGATCCACGTTTTATAACCACCATGGTACCTCCCTATATTCGACGATTTTGACGATTTTAGCAACATTATAAACAGATTTTTTTCAAGTTTCGCATTTGAATATTGTGATATAAGTTGCCTTGTGACAAAAGTTGCCTATGTAGGTCCACGTCGCCATATAGACTCTAATATACGGCTACATGATTTTAACAGAATTTTGAAATCCCTTTATTTATTATTATTATTATTATTATTTTTTTTTTTTTGAAAATTGTTAAATTCGTACCAAATGGTGGAGGGTATTCAAAGTTCGGCCTGGCCGAACTTACAGCTTTTTTACTTGTTTTTATCTCGCCCTGTATGTGGTGTAGGGTATAAAAAAGAACCAAAACACCCCTGTGTTAACTTGCTTCAGGATTAACATTTTTTAAAGATATTCCTCAATTTTATCGGCAAATGCATGGATTCCAAGGAATCTTAATCCGAAAATTTCTAAAAGTGTAGAAGAGAAGGAACTTGCGTTCTCTATTTAGGTTACTTTGCGAAGTAAATTTACAAACCCCGAAACATGTGTCTTCTTTTTTTGTTGGCTCTACTTTCATATTCTTCTGGATTTTCCCCGTAATTATTGAAATTTTTTTCGCGCAGGGCTACACATTTAACAAAGTTTTGAAAATAAATTAAATTTTTTCCACAATGTTCCCCAGGATCCCAAAAATACCAAAATCCTTCTCACACTCAAACCATTTACATTGCTTTTACCCATTGTGCACAATGCGTCTCCAAAAACCCGATTGCCACACGAATTGTTCGTTGTATGCCTGTATGGCACATTTTCAATGAGTAAATGTGAGGAATGGCAGCAGCATTAGCAACCTGAAAGCAAAACGAACCCGGGACTAGGTAACTTGGGCCGCAACCGCAAGCTATAAAAGTAAGCAACACTTTGTGGCATAATTCACAGTTATACGCGGACGCGCTTTTCTAACTCAACGGACGGTTGCGGGAGTAAAATTTCGAAACGCTGCGAAAAAAAATTCCAAATACCCCTACACAATCATCCCATCACAAAACACAAGAAATCTGAAAAAGTGTACTAGAAAAAATATCACACAAAAAATTTGTCTGCTCGGTTTAAGAAAGAAAAAAAAAACAGATCTTACTTAATTGCTTGCTTGCTTTAATGAATGAACTAAACTGAAAACCGCCTCAACTAAATAAGTGGATAAACAGAGACAAATTACGTTTCCTTTTCATTATTTTTCATTGTTGTTGCTGTTGTTGTTTTTTTTTCGTTCTTCGTTTTCATTTCAAAGAAAATATCTAATTTAAATAATCAAAAAGAATAACGAAACCAAAAAAAAAAAAAACGGAAACGGTTCTCGAGGCCATTGTCGCGCATTAGAACGGCGAAAAAGCCAAGTAAAACAAAATGACTCTGGAAGTGCTCAAAGATCCTCAACTGATATCACCCGCAAGCGTCTTTTGTTTTTTGCTATTGCCGCTGCTAACGCTATGGTTTACCTATTGGCGTTTATCCCGCCGCCATCTGTACGAACTGGCCGAGAAGCTGCCGGGACCCAAAGGATTACCCGTTGTGGGACATTTATTTGATGTCGTCGGACCAGCATCATGTAGGTGTCGATCTATGTTTTTTGTGTGTGTGTTTTTAGTTGTGATTTCGAAAAGGATTTTTAAAAAATTTCAAATAATTTAGAGGGAAAAATACTTTAAAACCATGGATCCATAAAAATACATTTCGCATCGAAATAATTGTGGAAATCACAAAAAACATTTGTTATAAAAAATAAAAAACAATAATTTGAAAAACATTCTTAAGTGGTGATTAAAAAAATATCGATAAAAACGAATTAAAGAGACCAAATAAGTTAACAACATTTTTGAATAAAAAAAGTGAAAATCATTCACAATAATGTAATTTTATTAATAATAGTGATTAACATTCCTTGGAAACCCCCTAACCTCCGATCGCTCTTGGAAACTGAGTAACAGCAGGATGTACTAAGGTCTTGGGCACGCAAAACAAAAAAAAATATTTTATGTGACAACGCAATTTTAAAATTCTACACGCATTGCATTATAAAGATGTACAGTTAAATGAAATCCTGCAAAAGGGGTTTCCGATCCGAGAACAACAGTTATACAAATTAGAAGGCATCAGTCGTCAGTGACTATTTCTAAAATTACATGACTATTTGCCTAAATGTCCTTGACAAAAAGTAATAAAAATTTCGCAATCTTTTGACAGAGTCCGATCCGTAAAGCCCTCAAAATATGTCGCAAGGCCAAAAAAAAAAACGATAAATAAAAAACCCACAATTTAAGAATAGGAAATTTTTAAAAAACTAATTTGACATTTTTTGTCAGACATTTAATGTTTATCTTAAAAATCTGCTATTTTGAAATATTAAAAATGTTTCATAAATACAATCTTCTTTCATGAACATCCACGAATCTAAAAAAAATCTATGGTTTTCGTCCTTTATCCTTCAGATTTTAAAATATACATGATGTTCTTACCTGAAATATTTTCAGAAAAAAATTCAAATCAGCGGTTTCATTTTTTTAAACCACGATTTTCTCCTTGAATTTGTTTTTCATATCCAAAATTTCCCCCAAAAAATATTTTCCACAAATGCTCGCTTTTTACAGGGTGAGATAAAAAAAAACTGCAACAAGATCAAACGCTATATTTTTACATTTTTTTTTAATTTTATCGAATGAAAGCAAAAAATGTCGGAAATAGATAGAAAATTTGTTCGAATGGATCACCTTCGGCACGAATTATGACCAATGAAACCGCCACACGTTGCCCGAATGTTGCTCTGCGGTATTTAGGTCCATTACCGGCGAAGCGCTTTCTTGAGGTGATCGACACTTTGGTATTTTCTATTGCAAACCTTGCTTTTCAAAATACTCCAGACACAATAGTCCAACGGATTGGTATCCGGAGATTTTGGTGGCCATTGTGTGCTGGAAATGAAACCTCATTCTTGGGAGGCGCGTGCTGAGTCCTGTTGGAATATTCACACGTTGTCCGAATGTTGCTCTGCGGTATTTTTGTCCATTCCCGTCGAAGCGCTTGCTTGAGGTGATCGATACTTTGGACTTTTTTATTGCCAACCTTGCTTTTCAAAATACTCCAGACCCAATAGTCCAACGGATTGGTATCCGGAGATTTTGGTGGCCATTGTGCGTTGGAAATGAAACCTCATTCTTGGGAGGCGCGTGCTGAGTCCTGTTGGAATGTCCACACGTTGTCCGAATGTTGCTCTGCGGTATTTTTGTCCATTCCCGGCGAAGCGCTTGCTTGAGGTGATCGATACTTTGGATTTTTTTATTGCCAACCTTGCTTTTCAAAATACTCCGTGCCCAAGGCTTTAATACACCCTCCAGAATATTTTCGCAATAATATTCGGTCTTTATTCTGATGCCACGGTCCATTAATACGAGCGGAGATCGACCATCGGCTGTTATGGCGGCCCACACCATCACCATGGCCGGCGCTTGAGTTCTGGTGGCCAACCGAAGGTGCACATTTTCAGCTGATCTCTTTGGCAAGTAAACACGTTCATTTTGTTTGTTTACAAACTGCTGGATAACGTATGTTTTCTCATCGGAGAACACCAAATTCGTCAGTTCACCTCTTTCGACCAAGCAAAGCAACTCTTTTGCTGTTTTGAGTCTATTTTCTTTCTGTTGCGGTGTAAGTTCTTGCACTTTTTGGAATTTCAATGGTTTTACCCCGAGTTCACTTTTCAATATTTGCCGAATGAAATATTGCGATATGTTCAGATCACGAGCCATTGATCGGTTTCGATCAAGTCGCTTCTTTACTTTTCAAATCATTTCTGCTGATGTTGCTGTTTTTTTCCGTCCACTTCCTTGATGTCGGGATACGCCACCAGTATCACGATAATACTAAAGACATTAAAGATTTATTCACATTTAAATGCTGAAGTGATCTAATGATAGCCACTTGTGGTTTTCCAGCCAAATATGAAGAAATCGCACTATCACGAATAACTTTTTTTCTTAAATTCTCACCAAAATGCTTTGGTACGCTTGTAAACAATATAATGAGCTGTCACTAAAATAATTTTAACAGCTGTCGGACGAGTGGCTTAGAAATGACAGCAGTCTGAAATTGGTTGTAGTTTTTTCACCTATATCTGCACTGATTTTCACCTAATTTGACAGACTTTGTTCTCGACTGAATTTGGTCGTATATGCCAAAATCCATTCAACTCGGACTTATAATAAGCATCTTGCGCACAATAAACTTTAAATCGGGATTAAGTTACGTTTTCAATCACGATCAAATTTGACAAAGGTATTTCGGAGCTGTATTTGATATCTTATGCCCAATATCGTTGTTATGGATTGCATATTAAGGCTGTGGAGGACTAAAATAACAATTTGGATAAACAATATATATATGGGAGCTAAGCTATATCTGAACCGATTTTCACAAAATTGTACATATTGGCTTCTAAACTCAATATGGTCGCATGTGCCAAATGTCATCATATTTGGGCTAATATTACACATTTAAAGTACAGTTTATATATTATATATAATATATTTATGGAAGCTATATCTAAACGTTTACCGATTATCACCAATTACAATAGGATTCGTCCATGGGCCAAATAAATGATTTGTGAGACTTATACTTTGTTTACAAAAATACGTGGATGGACGGACGGACATAAATGGACTCAGAGTGTGATTCTATGCAGATCATCATGAGGAATCACTTCCTTTTACATGTTACCAAAAAAGGTTCAAAAACATAAGATAATTACTTCTGGACCTCCTGCGAAAATATAACATTTTATACTTAGTTGATACAAACCAATTTAAAACAAATCATTGCTCTAATTTTTATGAATAGACAATGAAGAATATTAAAAATATGTATATCCATTTAAAAGTTAATGTTTTTAAAGATAGTGTCATTTATGCAGATTTTTTCTATTTTAGTTGGATGAATTAAATCCTCTTTTATAGACATGTCTTCTTGTATTCACATTAAAAATTATCAAAAAAAAAAAAAAAAAACATTTCAGTTCACTGAACTTTAATAACAATCAATCAATTATTAGTTATTTTTAATGTTGTTTGTGTTTCATATGTTATATTTATGAGCAAGCCCTGTAAGACAACGACAGTCAAAGAACTTTAACTAAGCTTTAAAACACACATTTGTTGTGCTTATTTTATTGTAAACAATATTTATAAATAAAAAACTAATTAATAATAATTATTTATTTTCACCCATCATTGATGGCATGGAATGCAGATGTTTTATTAAAACATCAAATAAAGGACATTCCCATGATTAATTTTTTAAATTAGTTTAAACATTTAATTTTGGTAATTTGCACAGCAATGCACTCGTTGTAAAACCGGTTTTTAATATGAACCGTCATTTATTTATGGTATTTACGTTTCGAAATAAGAAAATAATAACAAGCATGAAATCATGATGTTTCACATTGTAACAATGCGTAACAAAGAATTTTGAAAGATTTGCTAAAAAAAAAATTACACCTTTGAAATAAATGTGGTGTAAAATGTATAGTTTTTAAAATCTTGTTTTAAATCTAACTCCAATGATTTTAAAGAGCATTAGCAACAAGTAAAAAGGCTGTAAGTTCGGCCGGGCCGAACTTTGAATATCCTCCACCATTTGGAACGAATTTTGCAAATTTTCACAAAAAATAAAATCCGTTAAAAATTCTGTTAAATTTTTAAAAGTATTAAATGTAGCCATCATATTAGGGTCTACTAAACGACGACGTGGACCTGCATAGGCAATTTTTGTCATAAGTCATTAAAATATTCAAATGCGAAACTTGAAAAAAATTCGATGAATAATGTAGATAAAATCATCAATATAGGAAGGTACTATTTATTATAGGAGGGCTTTACCAAAATGTGGAGCTGCACAGACACTTTTCTGATTTAGTCTGCAGTATCGATTACGAACTTCAAATACCAAATTTCAAATAATTCCGATGAATAATGCCGCTAAAATCATCAAAATACCGAATATAGGAAGATGCCGTTATATGGGGGCTAAAATCATCAAAATACCGAATATAGGAAGGTACCGTTATATGGGCTATACCAAAATGTGGAGCTGCACAAACAATTTTTTGTCATAGGCTGTAGTATTCATTACGAACTTCAAATACCAAATTTGAAACAAACCGGTAAATAATGTCGCTAAAACCATTAAAATACCGATTATCGGGAGGTACCGTTATATGGGGACAATTTTCTGTCTTAGGCTGTAGTATCCATTACGAACTTCAAATACCAAATTTGAAATAATTCTGGGGAATGATGTCGCTAAAATCATCAAAATACCGAATATCGGGAGGTACTGTTATATTGGGGCTATATGAAGACGTGGAACTACACAAACAATTTTCTGTCTTAGGCTGTAGTATCTATTACGAACTTCAAATACCAAATTTGAAACAATTCCAGGGAATGATGTCGCTAAAAACATCAAAATATCCATGTATTTTTGTAAACAAAGTACAGTTCGCATTTATTGCCCTATCCAGATGAAATTTTGCACAAATCATTTGTTTGGCCCAAGGACGAACCCTATTGAAATTGGAGATAATCGGTCAAAATCTAGGTATAGCTCTCATATATATCTTCGTCCGATTTGCCTTTTAGTGGCCACTAAACGTGTAATAATAGCCCGAATAGTATGGAATGTTGCACATACAACCAAATTAGGCCTGAAAATAAGTATGCCAAATTTGATCGAAATCTGTTCAGATATTGGTATAGCTCCCATATATATTGTTCATCCGATTTGTTATTTTTGTCCCCCCGCAGCCGTAATATGCATTCTCTAACAACAATATTTGGGGAAATATATCAAATACAGCTCAATAATACATTTGCTAAATTTTATCGAGATCGGTTCAGATTTGGATGTAGCTCCCACATATAAATTCGTCCGATTTACCTTTTATTGTGCACCAAACGTGTAATATTTGTCTAAATGGGATGGAATTTGGTACTTACGACCGAATTGAAAGTAGAAGCTAGTATGTCAAATTTGGTGAAGATCGATTCAGATATAGCTATAGCTCCCATATATATTGTTCATCCGATTTGTTATATTTGTTACCCACAGCCGTGATATGCACTCCGTAACAACGATATTCTGGGAAATATATGAAATATAGCTCAGAAATATCTTTGCCAAATTTTATAAAGATCGGTTCCGATTTGGATATAGCTCCCATATATATATTTATCCGATTTCAAATTAATTGTGCACCAAATGGGCAATACAAGTCCGAATTTAAAAGATACAAATGATACGGCATATTTAGTCTTTTGAACTTTAAATTATAATCATAGCGTGTGTGATTGAATTCTCCCATAAAATTTTTTTATTGTTATGCGGAGCTCTACTAAATTAGCAAAGTGGTGTAGGGTATCATAAAGTCGGCCCGCCCGACTTTAAGACTTTCTTTACTGGTATTTTTTTGTCCAGGTGAGTTATAGGGCGATTACTTGAGCTATACTTAAAAAATCTATATCGATTGGATTGAAAAGTGTGACGTATTCCTTTTTTTTTCAAATAGTTGTTTTTTAATTAATTTTTTACCTAGTATTTATTCGGCAACCGTATTGTAGCTATTCAAGATCGTTAAACAGTTTTACCTCTCATTTTCTTAAAAAAAACTATGTTAACATTTATTTTTATTACAGCGGTTTTCAGGACTGTTATACGGAAAAGTTCCGAATTTCCCTATGTATGCAAAATGTGGATTGGGCCCAAGCTGGTGGTATTCATCTATGATCCAAAGGATGTTGAAATACTACTCAGCAGTCAGGTGTACATTGACAAGGCGTCAGAATATAAATTCTTTAAGCCGTGGCTCGGTGATGGTCTCTTGATTAGTACAGGTGAGTAAAAATATCATCAGAGTATTCCTTTCTCTCTTCTCGTTTCTAATGAAAACTAGTCTCCACAAAAGAGAGAAATTCTTTCATTCTTCTTTTTCTATCTCTAATAACAATACAATACGATAAAAATATCTACTGCCTTCTTTTTATTCCTATCATTGTTGCCACAGCTAATTGAATTTTTATTCTAATTCTAATTGAAACACAGGTCATAAATGGCGTTCACACCGCAAGTTGATTGCACCCACATTCCATTTGAACGTTCTGAAGAGTTTCATTGATCTATTCAATGAAAATTCACGCAATGTGGTCCGCAAACTTCAGTCGGAGGGTGGCAAAACGTTCGACTGTCACGACTACATGAGTGAGGCCACCGTCGAGATTCTATTGGGTAAGTAGCAGTAAGGTACTAGACAAAATCTACTCACACGACATTTTTGTCGTTTATAGGAATTCTTGTTGGTTTTTGTGAATAGAGAGCTCCTCTTCCATTGTTGTGTGTGGCCATCCATCCATCCATGGCGGTTATGGCAAATATTAATAGCGTTATTATTAATATTGGTTGGACAATAGACAGTCATATTTTATGGGTTATTGTGACAATTATATGTACATCGAATTTGCATATTAACACTCTTATGACCGGGGATCATTTAAATAATATGTGTAGCGAGAGAGAGAAAGAGAGCGAAAAATGACGTAAAGTGAGGTTATGTTTGAATCTTTTAAGCAAATATTGGCAAAAAAAAAAAGTTAAGAATTTTAAAAATTGGAAAAATTACAGAAACTTTCTCCAGAAATTGAAAATATTTAAATTTTTATTTTTTATACCCTACAACACTATGTGTTGAATCTCCCTATCTCGCCGAGCTAAGTCAATATAGCTATGTATGTCCGTCCGTCCGTCTGGCACGATCCTCACGAAATTTTGCATAGAGGTAGTTTTATGGTCGGAATAGAAGCATATTGGGGATGATCGCAAAATATTATATTATTTATTTTATGCATTTATTTTATGACAAATAATTTAGTAGAATATTTTGACTTGGTACGATCCCGTTTAAGGAGAGTTTTGAAATTAAAAAAAGTAATTTGAAAAATTTGTTGAAAAAAGGACCAAAAAGACCCTTTCGGTGACACGCTTGAGGGTTAAAGTTGTTAACCAAATAATCCATATATTGTTGTCAGTAATTTTTACGAAGACACCATATACTTTAAATCTAAGGAATCTTAATCCGAAAAATTAAAGAAACGTCTTTTATGCATTTATTTTATGACAAATAATTTAGTAGAATATTTTGACTTGGAAAGATCCCGTTTAAGGAGATTTTTGAAATTAAAAAAAAAGAAATTTTAAAAATTCGTTGAAAAAAGGACCAAAAAGACCCTTTTGGTGACACGCTTGAGGGTTAAAGTTGTTAACCAAATAGTCCATATATTACTGTCAGTAATTTTGCCGAAGACACCATATACTTTAAATGAAAGGAATCCAAGGAATCTTAATCCGAACATTTCAAGAAACTCCAAAGGATGGTAACTTATCCCCTTGCCAGGATTAACAAGCAAAAAAAGCAACTAAGTTTGTCCTGGCCGAACTTTTAATACCCTCCACCATTTGGAAGGAACTGGAAAACTTTAAAAAAAGTTCGTCGAAAAATGCATTTCCAATGAAAAGACTGATCTGTTCAAAATTTTAGCTTCCTATCTTAATTCGTTTTGATTCTAGCGTGATTACAACAGACAGCGGATGGGCACGGCTAAATCGTGTTAGAATTTTACGCTGATCAAATATATACAGGGTGAGATGAAAAAACTGCAACCAACTTCAGACTGCTGTCAGACTGCCTCTCGTTCGACAGCAGTTAAAATTATTCCAGTGACAGCTCATTATATTGTTTACAAGCATACAAAAGCACTTTGGTGAGAATTTCCCAGAAAAAAAGTTATTCGTGATGGAATTCAAGCGTGGTAGTGTTATTTCTTTATATTTGGTTGGAAAACCACAAGTGGCTATCGTTAGAGCACACCAGAATTTAAATGTGAATTAATCTTTCGTGTCTCGTATCATCGCTCGTTACCGTGATTCTAGTAGGGTAGCCCGACGTCAAGAAAGTGGACGGAAGAATACAGCAACATCAGCATAAATGGTTCGAAAAGTAATGAAGCGACTAGATCGAAACCCACGTCGCAGTGGCCGAAAAATGACTCGTGAGCTGAACATATTGCAATATTCAATTCGACAAATATTGAAAAATAAGCTCGGAGTAAAGCCATTGAAATTCCAAAAAGTGGAAGAACTTACACCGCAACAGAAAGAAAATAGACTCAAAAGAGCTTAAGAGTTGCTTCGCTTGGCCGAAAGTGGTGAAATGCCGAATTTGGTTTTCTCCGATGAGAAAACATTCGTTGTCCAGCAGTTTGTATACAAACAATAAAATGACCGTGTTTACTTGCCAAAGAGGTCAGCTGAAAATGTGCACCTTCGGTTGGCCACCAGAACTCAAGCGCCGGCCATTTTGAAGGTGTGGGCAGCCATAACAGCCGATTGTCGATATCCGCTCGTATTAATCGACTGTGGCATCAGAAAAAATGCCTATTCTGGAGGGTGTATTAAAGCCTTGGGCACGCAAACATTTTGGCCGCAGACCTTGGACATTCCAACAGGACTCAGCACCATCGCATTTAGCACGCGCCACCACAATGATCACCAAAATCTCCGGATACCAAACCGTTGGACTATTATGTCTGGAGTATTTTAGAAAGCAAGCTTGGCACTAAAAAACACCAAAGTGTCGATCACCTCAAGCAAGCGCTTCGCCAGGAATGAGCCAAAATACCGCAGAGCAACATTCGGGCAGCGTATGACGGTTTCATCGGCCGTTTGAAGGCCATAATTCGTGCCAAAGATGACCAATTCGAACAAATCTAAACTTATTCTAAAATTTGATGCTATTTCCGACATCTTTTGCTTTCATTCAATAAATTTAAAAAAAAATTAATATTATGTCTTTTTTACAGTTTTTTCATCTCACCCTGTATATACTCTGTTGGTTCTAAATTTAGTTTTTTGATGGAATACAAACTGAATGACGAATTTATATAGTATAAATAATAATAATAAATAGTATATTCCGTCCAACACAGAAACAACACCCTAATTTAATGTAAATTGCCTACCTCTATTCTTTTGAATTCAACCAAAGGACGGACATTTCCACATTGATCAATTAGTTACAAGGGAAATTAAAACATCTTTCTCCCCTAACCACTGACGAATAAAAAATAACTTTCAAGTTAAAATGAATCTTAAAATATCCTCCCCGCCTTCAGCAAATGATTTTTGACAAATTTCAAAACCAGTCGCTATCAAATTTATATTAAATAAACAAACGTATCTCTATTATGTAATAGCAAATCGTGCATTTATGTGTGTGTGTGTGTGTGTGTCTACAGTATTTGCTTAACCTGGTGTCCCAATTGCATGGCTAGTTGCATGACTGCGAATGGCTTTTCATTTCTTTGGCCTAAAAGCATATTTATTGTGGTGGCTACACACAAAAAAAAAGTGGTTGTTGATAGATGCAAAAACCAAAATATTTCGAGGAAGATGATTTCTGGTTAAAAAAAACGGACTTTAACCGTTATAAATGGCCAAATACTAATTTCAACAAATGACCCGATGAAAGCAAAAAAAAATATCATTTATTTTTCTAAGTGCAGTAAAAACTAATCAAACAACTGGCTACATTCACCCTCCTCGTGGATGACTGTGACGATTGATGATAGCGATGTGGAGAAAAATGCATGAAAACAAACCAGAAATAATGCAACCGTAAAGCCCAACATTTACTCAGCCATTTGGCCATTCACGCGACCAAGTTGAAGTAAGTCAAACTGTGGTTAGCTGCATTGCGAATTGCTTTCAAATGAAAAGAAAATTTTTAAACACAACACCGGCAAAAGCGTTTGCACTTTTTGTAATGACGTCGCTGACGTCCTCCGTTGAGAAACACTGGCACTTTTCACAGAGGCTAAAACCTCCACAGATTTGAGATGAATGAATGCTGTTGCCGGTGGTAGTGGTGGGGATGGTCCAAAGAAAAATGCCAAGAAAGATGTTGAGAAACTGGCAAAAGAATTAATGGCTGTTGGCTTAGTTGCATTTCGCCAAAGTTATTTTAGCAAAACAAAAAGATACTCTAACAACGTCGTCTATCCAGACTTTCGAGTTATGCAATGGACACGAACAATTGTTGGTTGTTAAGTAGTCAGCTGGCTGGTTGGTCCGATGGATGTTGGATGTGTTGTATTGCACTGTTAGGTGGCATTAATCCATAATAAAGCCACACAATAGCTGACGAAATAGTAAAAGTGTGAATGGACAACAGGAGGAGGCGTTTCTGCCAGTGATTATGGGTCAATAGTGTTATAATGACAATGGAAAAGTTTTTCGGCCAATTGATTCGAAGTATTGAAAACTTGCATCTATAAAAGAGGTATAAGAAAATTAAAAGATCTTCTTTATACATATTATGAAACAATATTGAAATACATTTTATAAGAAGTGAGATCCTAAAAGAATGCCCAATATTTTGTAAGATTATCAACAGATCCTCTATAACAAGATAAACAGATCTTTTAAAAAATGTTCTAAAAAAACAATTTAAATTCTATAAGGATATGGATGTTTATAGAATTTTATACAGATCCACAACTCTTCTATTAAATTAATAGAAATAAGATCAAGAAAGAAAGATAGAAAGATCAACAAATCTTCTAAAAAAACATTTTTTGAGGAGTCATGGATCTGATTTGATTCAGAATATTTAAAAATTGTAGCTATAAAAAGAGGATTAACTGATATTCTAAAAAAATTCCGAATATCCACAGATTTCTATAAATTCAGATCCCAAAAGATCACCAACTCATATCCTATAAGGATGTCAACATATCTTCTATATGAAGTTTAATAAATCTTCTAATAAAAGATCAATATAAAGTCTATAAAAATATGAATAGATGTTATGATCATAGAACTGATAGATCAATAGGAATTCGATAAGACCCACAAATCGTTGATGAGAAGAGCAAGAAAATTTCAGAAAAAAACATTTTTAAAAAAAGTCATAGGTCTGAAGAACAACTTATGTTCTATTTAAATATCAACTGATGCTCTGGATGAAGATTCTCATTTCTTCTATAAGAGATTCACAGATTTCAAAAACATCATCCCAACACCAGTTGGTGTTCCTTCAATGTTCTGATGCTCACTCGTTTTATTATTTATTTATTCACTTGACTCTGACTGTCCCTGGAAACCGTTATTGTTAAATATTTTCACTTCCCCATTTGTAATATTTTAAAATTCATTGTACAATTTACATTTGACCCTATTTGTCAATCAACGATTTAAAACACTTGAACATTTCTTTTATTACCTCATTATCAATAGAAAAATATATGTTAATGACATTGTCCAATCGATTTTGGCAACATTTCACTAAATTGTGAATTATTTATGTTTTCAAACGCATTGGCTACTATCCAAGCAATGTTATCGAACATTGGACATTTAGACAATTATTGTCATATTTATGACCAGCATTGTTTGCAAAAATAAACATTGTCTTTACAACTGTATAGGCAATCATATGCAAATTGTTGGCAATTTGATTTTGCACACACAATAAATCGATGAGGTTGGACATGACCCAAACAAAGCTATTACAGCTAAGCAATTGGGTTAATTGATATTACAAACAAACTTAGGTTTGTTTGAACTAAAAATATTTTATTTCATTCACTGTACTTTTAAACTTAAAATACATTCAGTCTTTAAGTTTTGTTTACTACAAAGAATTTTGAAAACTCAAAAGTTATTGAAAACCAGAGCATGCATACCATGTCACTGTCTCCAACGATCTATACGAAGCTGAATTTATAATATTTTATATAACGCCCCTTGTGGCTTTTCTCGGGTTCGAAATCGTTAAAAATTATAACAAATTACCACGAAAATATACCTAAGTTTAGGGTTTAAAATGCGAACGTCAAAAGTGTCATCGAAAAATACGGTTTAAATGAAAAACAGTATAGGGGAGCTGTATGAAGACGAGGAGGACAATTCCGTTGAACAATGTCGCTAATATCAACAAAATGTCGAAAAAAGGGAGTTACCGTTATATGTGGAATATAGGAAGACAATTATCTGTCATAGGTCGAAGCATCCATTACGAACTTGAATATGAAATTTGAAACAATTCCGGTGAATAGCGTCGCTAAAATCATTAAAATACCGAATATCGGGAGGTATTGTTATATGGTGTCTATACCAAGACGTGGGCCTGCATAAGAAATATTTTGTCATGCGAACTTTAAATACGAAATTTAAAACAATGCCGGTCTATAATATCTATAATATCATAAAACAAGTAAAAAACATTAAGTTCGGCCGGGCCAAACTTTTAATACCCTTCACCTTAGGGTAAAAGAAACATTAGAAGAAATGTGGCAAAAACCATGAAATTACCGAATATCGGGAGGTACCGTTATATGGGGGCTATACCAAAACGTGGAACTATAATTACAATGTTTCGCTACACGAACTAGGACCCATTATGACCCACAAATACCAATTTTTAGACAAATCAGTGAAAAAATGTGGCAAAAACCATAAAAATACCGAATATCGGGATGTACCGTTATATGGGGGCTATATCAAATCATGGACCCATGCATGCAATGTTTCGCCACCGGAGCTGGAACCCATTATGACCAACAAATACCAATTTTCAGACAAATCCGTGAAAAAAGGTTGCAAAAATCATCAAATTACCGAATATCGGGAGGTACCGTTATATGGGGGCTATACCAAATCATGGACCCATACATGCAATGTTTCGCCACCGGATCTGGAAACCATTATGACCCACAAATACCAATTTTTAGACAAATTCGTGAAAAAATGTGGCAAAAAAACTAAAATACCGAATATCGGGAGGTACATTTATATGGGGGCTATACCACAACGTGGACCTATACATGCAATGTTTTGCCACACGCTCAGGGACCCGTTATGACCAACAAATACCAATTTCCAGACAAATCCGTGAAAAAATGTGGCATAAATCATCAAAATACCGAATATCGGGAGGTACCGTTATATGGGGACTATACCAGAACGTGGACCGGTATATCTCATTTTCAATACTAACCATCCTAGACACAATGCAAATAGCTCTACGTCAAATAATGTGAGCTGTATCGTGATTTCAACAGACAGACAGATGGAACCACAGACGTTAAATCGACTTAGAATTTTATGCTGATTATGAATATATATACTTTATGGGGTCTAAGACGAATATTTAAGGATGTTACAAACGGAATGACAAAGTTAATATACCCTCCTTTCCAAGGTGAGGGTATTAATTTCGAATATTGGGTGGTACCGTTATTTAGGGTCTATTCGAAGACCCATAAGCAATTTTTTGTCATAGATTGTAGTACCCATTAGGACCTTCAAATGCGAAATTTAAAACAATTCCGTTGAAAAATTTCATTAATATCATCAGAATACCGAAAAAGGAATGGATCCTCCCTTTTTCAGTATTCTATATTCGGTATATGTGTACGAGTGTACGAAGACGTATTTTTGTCATTGGGTGAAGCATCCATTACGATCTTCCAATACGAAATTCGAAACATTTCCGGTCTATAAAAGCATCAAAATATCGAATATTGAGACGTACCGTTGTATTGGGTCATACGAAAACGTGGACATGACATGAACATGATTCATTTACGAACTTAACCTGTCCACTTGCATAATACACATGTGTGCAAAATTTTAGACTTCTATCTCAATTTGTTGAAAAGAATTGCGTGATTACGACAGACAGAGTGAAGGGCAACGCTAAATCGACTTGGAATTTTACGCTGGTCAACAATATATAATCTTTGTCGGATCTGATATAAGTATTTCGAGGAGTTACTTACAGAATATCGGTATACAAATAAAGTGGGCGATATCTTTATGTGGGGGAAATACCATAACGTGAACCTAAATGTACAGTATTCAGCTACAGGAGCTTGTGTTTTAATTTCCTTGAAAATGTGGCTAAAATGAACAAAATATTAAGTGTCCGCAGGTACCGTGATATAGGATGGTAAGGTAAAACGTAATCCTAAATATACCATTTTCGGACACAGGAGGTAGAACTTATTATAATCTTTAAGTTCCGACTTTAAACTGAAATCATCAAAATACCGAATATCGGAAGAAACCGGTGCTAGAAACCATAACGAGCTATAAATACCAAATTCTAAACTGATCCTATAAAAATATGCATGTAGAATATAGAAAGGTACGGTTATGTGGGGCTATGTAGTAATTTAAGTATTCTTAGTTTCTTTGGTTTCATTTCTATTGAGCTGGCGATGTTTTAAATGTGTTTTGAAAACTCCCGGTGAGATAAAATATCTGGAGATATTCCAGACAAAAACCAAGTAAACATACGAGGATTGGTGACTTTCTTCGAAATCTTATTCCATAATAAACATAGCCATTTTTTCCATTACTAAATAAATGTTGTTCTTATAAAAACAACAATAATGCGATTAAACTTGGGGCCAAATTTTCACATTCGATATAGAAAAAATTGCAATCAAAAGATAAATGAAAATTTTGTGTCTAAATTTCTCATTCTATATCTAGCAGCATGATACAATTGATAGAAGGTAGCAGTAAATCAAGCTAAGTGTCAAATGGGATAAGATGTTTTGCTATGTAATTCCTCCTTTTTTACTTCACAAATTGCTTACTTTGGTAGCAGTAAAAAAGCGACTCGTCATTTTCTTGAATCTATACGGTTTTGTTCAAAATTCTTGTATTTTTGGCTCTTCCTTATAATAATGTACCAAAATCTATTAGTTTCTATCCAAATTTATAATTTAATTAAGATTACTTTCACATTTTAAGATTTTTTTCGATCGAAATTTGTTCAGTATCGAATACGAGAATTTGTTTACTATTTTATAACAACTAAATATTTTTGGAATTTCAAAAGGAACTAAAAACATAGGATTCATTTCAATACAAAGTTGTAGAATAATGGTCGTTTTAAATGCGTACTTACTGATTACCGGAAATTGCAGGTGTAATGTCCAAAAGCTTCACATCATTTTTTTTTTATTCATTACGATTGCAAGAGTGAATCTTTCCATATTTAATAATATCCAAACGCTAACAACATGTTACCATTAGTCATCCTTTTCATATGTTATAAAACTAAAATAAAACCAGAAAACATGAAGAAAACCTGAAAATTTTTTCCTGTTACAAGAAAATATATAACTTACAGGTGGGGGGAACAAAGTCCATTGCAATGACATGCCCAAATGATACTGTCTGCAGTGATGCAAGACTATTGATTTTTCTTTTTGTCTGGAAAATCACCATTTGTGTTTTCTGGAATTTGGAAAAAAGAAAAAATTAACAATTACAAATATAAATATGTGTGCATGTACTCTTCCTAATGAAAGAGGGTATTTTATACTTTTTTGAGTTCAACTTATTGATAAGGATGGAGGTATTGGTAGTGTAATTAATATTTTAGATCCCTTGAACTTTCTAAATTATATACAATGTAAACGGAATGTTAGAAAGCATTAAGGAAGTAATGATTTATTGGGGACATAGTACATTAAACAAATTTGGTAGACTGACTAAATTTTATTTATTTTTTTTTTTTTCGAGTGTGACCAACTTTTGCCTATTTTGTGCTTATATTTAAAGTGTGGGTACGTCAGCGGCTTGAAGTCTTCGCAGAAGCCAGACGATGACTTAAGCCATTCAAAAAAGCGACTTGTGTTCTCGCCTTTGTTGTTTTGAAAAAATGAGGAAAAAATCAAAATCAATGATTGGAAGAAAAGTTCATTGCTCGACACGATTTGAAAATTTGAAAATTTTTGTCTTTGAATTGAAATATTAAACAGCTTGGATAACATTTAAAAAAGAAAATCCGGACATTTAATTCATCTATAGCGTTTTTAATTTATTTTAAAAATTAGGAGAACTATTAAATAAAAGGAGACAAGTTCTTGCATCTAATTTTGAATAAATCTGACGGTAATAGCCTCACGTCTGTATTTCAGTAGTTTTACGAACCTAATTTACCTCCATAATGTACCATGAATATATCTATCCCATCTTATTTTTATTATTATTACTTTTCTTATTTTATACAAATTCCAATTTTTGTTTTTATTTCCCAGAAACGGCAATGGGAGTGTCGAGAAAGACTCAGGACAAATCAGGTTATGAATATGCTCTGGCAGTTATGAAAATGTGTGATATTCTTCATCTGAGACATCGTAGCCTCTTTCTGAGAAGTGAATTTTTATTTTCCCTAACCAAATACTATAGGGAACAAGGAAAACTTTTGGATATTATCCATGGCCTTACAAAGAAGGTAATCAAATATAAGAAGGAAGCATTCAAAAGAGGCACTCGCGGCTCACTGGCCAAATATGAATGGACTGAAAATGGTGAATTAATAACGGAAAGTCTAAACTCCAATGGCAACGTGGGAGGCAGTGATGAGAAAAACGAAAAAGTCACAACCGTGGAGGGACTGTCCTTTGGCCAGGCAGAAGGTTTGAAAGATGATTTGGATGTTGATGACAACAATGTGGGCGAAAAGAAACGTTTGGCCTTTTTGGACTTGCTCTTGGAGAGTGCACAAAATGGTGCCACCATTACGGACACGGAAATTAAAGAACAAGTCGATACAATTATGTTTGAAGGGCATGATACAACCGCTGCTGGATCTTCGTTTTTCCTCTCTTTGATGGGTATACATCAGGGTATCCAGGATCGTGTTATCGAAGAGTTGGATGAAATTTTCCAAGGCTCCGATAGAAATTGTACATTCCAAGATACATTGGAAATGAAGTATTTGGAAAGATGTTTAATGGAAACGCTGAGAATGTATCCACCGGTACCGTTGATAGCTCGGGAACTGCAAGAGGATTTAAAATTGGCCTCCAACGGTTATGTCATACCCCGGGGAGCCACCATCACAGTGGCTACCATTAAACTACATCGCAATCCTTTGGTCTACAAGAATCCGAATATTTTTGATCCTGATAACTTTTTGCCTGAACGTCAAGCCAATCGTCATTACTATGCCTTCGTGCCGTTCTCAGCTGGTCCAAGGAGTTGTGTGGGTGAGTGTTGTTTGAATTTTTATTAAATTCATTTTTACACAGTTTTCTTTATAATTATTTTTAATATTTATTTATTTTTGGTTAATATTTTTAATTATATTTTTTAAAATTGTTTCGTCTGTTTTTTAGGTCGCAAATATGCCATGTTGAAATTGAAAATCCTCCTCTCCACGATTCTACGAAACTATCGCGTCTATTCTGATTTAACTGAAGAAGATTTCCGGTTGCAAGCTGATATAATTTTAAAACGCGAAGAAGGATTCCGTGTTCGCTTGGCACCACGCAAACCCCAGAACTTTAAGAAATCCACACAGACTAACGGCTCACCGGGAACAACAAATACTACAGTAGGCCCGACACCAGCAATTTAGAGTTATAATCACTGTAATTTTCTTTGTCCGTATACTTTTTTTTATAAATATTTCATTATGAAAATAATATTATTTTTATTTTTTTATTTTAATACTTAATAATTGTTTGTTTGTGAACCAACCATTGATTCCTTTATAATAGTTAAGAAATGGTCCAATTGTGGGTAATTTTCGTCATAAATAAAATCTACGATCTTTTGAGAAAATGGAAATGTATTTTTTTTGTTAGTCTAATATTAAATATTTTGTATTAAATGTAAGAAATTTTCTGAATAAAAATATAAATATAATTATAAAAAAAAAGCTTTTGAATTTTTTTATGTTTATTAAGCAAATTTGAAAATTTTGGCTTGTGGAAGATCGCTACATTAGTGGAAAACAGTATTTACGTTGGTGAATAAAATTATCCACGTTAGGGGATGGATAAAGAAATTTCAGATAAAAAATAACCCATATTGGTGGATACACGTTGATGGATAAAAAAGTCTACGTTAACGGATAATTCACTGTATTCGATAAATATTGTCCACGCCAGGGGATCAAATTGTCCACGTTAGTAATTAGGGGAAAATAAAGCAGATTATAAAAGTAGAACTAAAAAGTAAAGAAACGGGAGTTTTTTCTGTTATTAGGAACATTCACAAACAAACAATTCTGTAAAAACGTTGGCTAAGTTGGCTATCATCAAAATACCGAATATCGGGAGGACAGAAGAACCCATTACGGAATCCAAACACTGAATTTCAAGTAATGACGTTAGAAAATGTGGTACAAATCGTTAAAATACCGAATACTGGAAGGTACCTTTATATAGGGGCTATAGGAAAACGTGGAACTATGTAGACAGTGTACTGCTACAGGATATACAGGGAGAGATAGAACAACTGCAACAAAGTCAAACGCCACAATTTTTACATTTTTTTTTTTAATTTTATCGAATGAAAGCAAAAAATGTCGGAAATAGCATCAAATTTTAGAATAAGTTTAGATTTGTTCGAATTGTTCACCATTGACACTAACTATGGGCTTCAAACGGCCAATGAAACCGTTACACGCTGCCCGAATGTTGCTCTGCGGTATTTTAGCCCATTCCTGGCGAAGCGCTTGCTTGAGGTGATCGACACTTTGGTATTTTTTAGTGCCAAGCTTACGTTCCAAAATACTCCAGACACAATAGTCCAACGGATTGGTATCCGGAGATTTTGGTGGCTGGAAAAAAAAGCGAGGAACCTGATTTTGTAACCATCCTTGGGTGGTGCGTGCTGAGTGCTACGGTACTGTTGTCCTGTTGGAATGTTCAAGATCTGCGGCCAAAATGTTTGCGTGCCCAAGGCTTTAATACACCTTCCAGAATATTTTCGCGCTATTATTTGACATTTATTCTGATGCCAAGGTCGATTAATACGAGCGGAGGACGAGCATCGGCTGTTAAGGCGGCCCACACTATCACCATGGCCGGCGCTTGAGTTGTGGTGGCCACACGAAGGTGCACATTTTCAGCTGACCTCTTTGGCAGGTAAACACGATCATTTTGTTTGTTTTCAAACTGCTGGACAATGAATGTTTTCTCATCGGAGAAAACCAAATTCGGCAGTTCTCCACTTTCGGCCAAGCAACTCTTTAGCTCTTTTGAGTCTATTCTCTTTCTGTTGCGGTGTAAGTTCTTGCACGAGCTCATTTTTAAATATTTGCCAAATGAAAATGGGGGCTATAGGAAAAGGAAAACCTATGTGGAAAATTATACGCCACAGGAGGTAGCATGCATGGTACAATGAAGAGAAGGTAGGTCAAGTTTGAAAAAGTTGCAAGTATAGAGGTCTACCTGTTTGGCTTGTAATGTCAGAATTAGTATCAAAACAATAAAAAAGCAAACAACTTGTTGCATTGATTTTGAATAAATAATTTAAAACCGCGAAAACTGAGTGAATGGTCAAAATTTATTTTCAATATCATGTTCTATATATCTCTTATGGTTTATTTCGCGACAAAAACTGTTGTTGTTGTTGTTGTAGCAGTAGTACATGTGTGTGTTTGTGTTCTGCTAATCTGGTTCCAGCTCCAGGTTTAGAAATTCGGCTACTTTAACGGGCTGTAGCCAGAGATCCTCTGGAGTGAGTTGGGTAGGTTTGGCTGAGCAATTAAAAAGGTGTAGCGTATTGTGCGGGCCTGTATCACACGCCGGGCAGGCGTCACGCACATCTTCATCAATTCGTGCCCAATACGAATTGAGGCGACTACACCATCCTGAACGTAATTGCGCCAAAACTACCCTGGTTTGTCTAGGCAGCTGACGTTCTTCGGCTGCAATGGATGGGGGGTGGACTCCGAGGACGGCATTCACTTTATAACTGCTAATAGCATCCGCGACTGCATCGGTGTGAATGCCACTCAGACCTGCCTGATAGGCTTCTTGATCTAGAGGCTCTCTCTTGTAGCGCTGGACCTCCCTCTCTAGATCATGTATGTCCTTCCTGACACGCCTGGGTGGGGGAGAGTTATCCACCATATGATGGTTGGGATGGCTCTCACGGCAACACCCAAGCAGGTACTGCAACGAAAGCATATGATTATGCTGACGTAAGGGAAGGACTTTCGCCTCCTCATGTAGATGGTCCACTGGTGTCATGAGGAGGCACCCTGTCGCAGTTCTCAGGGCAGCGTTCTGGCAGGTCTGGATATTCTTCCACTGCGTAGCACTAGTATTCGCAGACCACACTGGAGCCGCATAGTTGACCACAGACAGACCTATCGCGTTATAAGAGGTCAACAAGGTTTCTTTGTCCGCACCCCAAGAGCTGCCGGCTAGCGCCTTGAGGACCTTGTTCCTACTTTTCATCTTGTCGCAGATAGCTGTGGCTTGCGCGGACGACTTGAACATGCTGTCGAACGTTACCCCAAGAATCTTGGGGTAGTTCGTGGTCGGTATTAAATTCCCCTCGACCTGAACATTCAGCTGTGTTCTCATCTCCGCAGACCATGTGGTAAAGAGTGTGGCCCTTGATTTCGTGGCGGATATTTTCATATTCCTCGCGTGGAAGTATGCGGCAAGCTCCGCGAGATAGGGGTTCAACCTTTCGCATATGTCATCGACCACTGGACCCGACGCCATGATCGTACAATCATCCGCATACGTTACGATCTCAATGCCGTCTGGAGGGCGAGGAATTCCGGAAAGGTAGAGGTTAAACAGTTCCGGAGATATCACCCCACCTTGGGGAACTCCCTGTTTCACTCTACGGGCTTTGGACTTCTTGTTCCGGAATTCCACGTACGACTGGCGTCCACACATATAGTTGATTATCCAACGTTTCAAACTTGGCCGGAGGGTAGTTCTCTGTACGTCCTCAAACAGTGTGGCATGATTGACCGTATCAAATGCCTTTGATAGGTCAAGGGCTACCAACACTGTTCTGTCACACGGCCTGTTCTGGTTTAGTCCTCTACTAATATGTGTGGAAATGGCGTGTAATGCTGTTGTGGTACTATGTTGTGGACGGAATCCATGCTGGTGGTTGGCAACTGCATAGCTTCCTCTAATGCTGGGGAGGAGTAAAGCCTCAAGAGTCTTTGCTACTGGCGACAAAAGCGAAATCGGCCTGTACGATTCGCCTTTACTGGCATCCTTGCCTGGCTTCAGTAGCGGGACCACCCGGCCCATTTTCCAGGTTTCGGGCACTATGTGGGTGGCTAGCGACAAATTGAGAACTTTCGTTAAGTACTCGACTCCCGGCGTATCCAGCTGCTTCAACATTACCATTGAGATTCCGTCCGGGCCCAACGCTTTGGATGACTTAGCGTTACGGATGACATTTGCAACATCACCCATCGTAAACTGTGGTGGTTCCTCCTCGGCGGGAAGAGATCTGATACGACGTAGTACTCTTCGCTTCGCCCTATCACTCTCGGGGTGCTCGACAAATTGCCGGTTAAAATATTCCGCGCACCTCTTCGGATCGGTCACCGTTACGTCGTTAAAAGTGACTGAGGTCCTATCATCCTTTTTTCCAGGGTTCGAGAGCGACTTAACCGTTACCCACAGCTTACTCATATCGGTTCCAATGTTGCAGCACTTCAGATGGTCTAGCCACTTTTTCCTCTTATGCTCCTGTACCAACCGGTTGACTTCCACTGTCAAATCACTGATTCTAGGATCAGTAGGGTTGGTACGACGGAGATCATCACGCTCGTTTGCTAATCCCGCTGCCTCTGCTGGGAAGTTTGGTCTTATCTCGGGTATTCGACCAGCAGGTATATAGCGAGCGGCTGCAGCTCTGATGATGTTTCGGAAAATCCTTTCTGCTACCCGAACATCAGAAGGGTTGGGCAGTTCTCTGAAGTGGCGGTTGGTGAATTCTCTGAACTCTGGCCAGTGAGCTTTCCCATGTTAAGGAAAGTGCGGCTTTCAGAGGTTATGAAATCGGGCGACCTGCTTATGGAGACGATTATCGGGAGATGGTCTGAGCCAAGAGAAATGACGGGTTGCCAAGTCACGTCATTTATCAGACCGGGTGACACTATGGTTAAGTCTGGCGAACTGTGACACTCTCCTCTTATTCGGGTGGGGGCATCCTCGTTAACCGTGCAGAATGTGGAGCAGTCAATCTGCTCTGCCAGCGCTGATCCCCTCTGGTCATTACCTAGGACGGAATGCCACAACTCATGGTGGGCATTAAAATCCCCTAGTACCAGGCGGTTATTGCCTAGCAATAATGGGCTAATATCAGGCAAATAACGTGGTTCACAGCTATTAATCGGCGGGATATACACATTAAGCACCTCTACCTCGGCAGTTCCACACTTGACTGCTATCCCCATACATTCCATGTATGGGTCACTAGAGACTAGCTCAAGCGAGATAGGTCTGTACTGAACAGAATGGTGTAACAGGAACGCTAATCCCCCACCTCCACTTCTGGTGCGATCCTTCCTTAGTACGTTGTAACCATAACAACGTTGTAGGCTGCAATTTTCATTCAGCTTGGTTTCCTGCACCGCTGCGATCTTAATATTCCTCCGACTCATAAATTCCACTATCTCATCTATTTTGCCTCGAAGTCCATTGCAATTGAATTGCAAGAACGATGCACAATCCGGAGTTGGAACAGCAACATGTGGCGTTAGGTGCTGCGGTGTTGGTTGCTGTTCTGGAGACTGCGGTGGAGTGCCATACTCCGACGACGCCTCTGACGAGGACGACGAAGAAGAGGACTCGCTGGGGACTACGTTACTGCAGCAAGTCGCAACATAATCCCTTTCGCTGTAGTCTCGCAAACGCCTTAATCCGGAACAGTTCTTGAAGTGCACCCACTCTCCGCATCCATTACATTGCACCGAGACAGATCTGTGGTGGATGACGTTCTGACAAACCGAGCAGAACCAAGGTCCGGGGTTTTCCTCAATCCCGGCACGGACCAATAAAATCCGGAGCAAGCATTCCGGGATATGCTGCTCCCAATGCAGAAAAATAAACAAACACAAACATGTACATACTGGGTTGGCAGCCGCTGGCCGAAACTGGAATCTTGTTGTTTCGGGTCAATCCGGTATCGTAGAACCCGCTGCCGTGGGATTGGACAAAAACTGTAGATTTTGTCGATGCATTCGTTGCAATAAGCATTTTGAAAACAACCGAATTTGAATACTTTCTGAACAATTTTTTTATTATTGAAAAGAAGACACACACATAAGCAAATGAAGTTGACATATTAAGCCAGAAAAATAAAAAAATTTAAATCATATGGTAGTTCTGCCCTACCTTGAATTCATTGTACCATGGGAGGTAGATTCCAATACAAACTCTAAATACCAAATTTTAAATTATTCCATTTGAAATTGTCCGAATTCCGAATATCGGGAGGTACAATTATATGGTGGCTACACGAAAATGTGAATCTTATTCGGCCACAGGATGTAGACCCCAATATAAACTTTAAATACCGAATTTTAAAATATTTCTTTAAAAAGTTTGGCTTGAATCGTCAAACTACCGAATATGGGGAGGTACAATTATATGGGGGCTACACGAAAACGTTGACCGATATAGCACATCTTCGAACTTGACCTGACAGCAGACAAAAGACAACTCTATTTTTAACTGCTTATCACATGCCGTTTGGACTCTAGCATGATTACAACATACAGACAGACAGACGGACATTGCTAAATCGACATAGAATTATGATCGGAAAATTTAATCCTCAAGCGAGTCAACAAAAGTTACTTTTGTTAACTTTATGCACATATATTAAATAAACATTTTAGTGTTAAAACCTTACCTTATGTGTGTTTGTGCAAAATTATATTACAAAGCATCATTTTAAAAAGAAGCTATCAAAGTCAAGAAAATCTTTGCACCAATGTTGCCAAAAAACCCTGAAACATTTTCTAATTTTTTTTGATAAATATTGTTCGACCTTTTTTTGAATAGTTAATTTTTTGAGTACATTTTCAAAGAAAATTTTTCTACATTAAATTTTGATGTGGTTCTCCGAACAACAGAAATTTGTATAATTATGTTCATCAATTGTGGTCAAAAATAAAACCTTTGTCCTTTTTGACAAACTTTTTTTTTCTAATTCGCTGAAAGTTTTCTTCTGATTCCACTGTCCAAAGCCAATCTGGGCTGTGGAAAATTTCAAGTAGATTTAACAGTAGTCGGTTTGTAGGTCAAAACCCGAAAATAGTTTTCAGTTTGTAGGCCCAACTTCTTTATATGTTTATTAAGCCTTGGCGGTGGATATTTTTTTACATTTTCGCCTAATTAGATTAGACTAGATCCACGTTTTTTAACAGCTTTTATATAAAGATACCTCCGGTTTTAGAGGGTCCGTCATCGGTGGCTATTAGTTACTTTAAACACCCAATTTATACGCAATATCTGAAAAAGAATTTATTCTCACAGTATATATGTAAAAAATCTCATACAAAAATACTCAACATTGCACAAAAAATACACATAAATAGAAGAATTTTACAAATAATAGAACGCAACAAAATAAATGGAATTATAATAGGAATTAAATACAATCTAATCGTGTCAAATGTGTGTGTGAAGGCACTTTTACATGGATTTCATTTGAGCCATTAAGTCTTCCAAATTAACATCAGCAGCCGATACGGTATTAGCACTTGCTGTATCATCTTGGACTAGAGCCTCATAGGCCAAGCGTAGACCTTCTGTAACATTGGAAGCTTCCGTTGGTTTCGCCACTTCCTCGGGTTGGGAATCATCAACCAATTCAATACCCCACTCATTATCGTCATGCAGCTGTTCATTTGTTTCCTCGACGACCTCCTCTTTAACAGGTTTCGGTTTGGCTGCAAATTCCTTTTGGCGAGCCAGACAATGTCTATCATCACATTGGGTATTTGGCTTGAGAGTCATTTTAGGGAAGAAATCATTCATGGCATTGTAGCCCAAATAATCGGAAACTTCGCCAAAGTTAAGCAAATATTTTAATGTATTTTGTACCAACATGCCGGCGGTAATGCCCATTGTGGTGGGTAAGGATGCAGCACAAACACCTTCACGTTTCAGGGTTTTCTCATCAATGTTCTCAGCCACAACCAGGGGTGGAGCACAAGCAAAACAAGCGGTTTCGCCGGGACGTATAAATTGTATATGCCCCGAAACAGCATTCTCCGACACACCTGATTCAAACCAATTCAAACCGAGTTCATTACAGGCTGTATTAATGGCCATTCTGGCCTCAAAGTTGTCAACACAACTCAAAACCAAATCAACAGGTTGTCCTGCCTGCAAACCACCATGGGCAATAGTGTCGAGGAATTTATCAAAGGAGTCTACTGTTGTTATATTGTAATTGTGTGTTTCAATGCTAACATCTGGATTGATGAACGTCAATGTTTTCGCAGCTGCCTCCACCTTGGATAGGCCAGCCTGATCCGGCGTGAAGAACAAACGATTCATATTGGCCAATTCAACTTTATCGTAATCGAATAAAATCAATTTGCCCACACCGCAACGGGTCAACATATCCGCGGTGACACTGCCAACACCACCAACGCCCACTACGGCAACAGCCTTCTCACGTATCCGTTCGTAGTCTTTAACAATGCCCATACGTTGTAGGGCCATCAGACGGCTATAGGGATTTGAGTCAACCACTTCTGCAGACATTTTCTCAATAGGTTGGCGAGCCTTTTGATTTTCCATACGCTGCTGGGCCAGTTCCTCTTTCATTTGGGCCAACATGGCTTGAAGTTCTTCGATGGCCGACATTTTTCCAGTTACCACTTTTTGGGATTCGTTTGGATAGGAGAGAAATACAACTAAAGCTAGCTGGGGTATCTGTCTTCGTGTCACTTTCAAAACAACAAATCTTTAGTCAATCACTGTAGATGGTTACCATACAACGTTAGCAAACTCACAAACCACCTGTCATATTTGGTAACATATGATACGAGGGATCTTTACAGTATGCGATTCATACAATTTCCTTTGATAATAAAAGTTACATTGCCCCTGTGTTTTCATATTTCTCTTAATGGCAACACTTTAAGATACTACTTCACTTCACAAATAATACGGGAAAATGCCAAAATTGAAGGTAGTTGGTTATTCTTCCATACTTTTTTAATTGGTAAGAGATAGGAGAGTTAAATTCGTTCCCAGAAAACTGCATTGCCCAGATAATATGGGAAGGGAAAACGAGTAAAAATGTCAAAATCAAATTTTCAACACGGCTAAAATTTCTAGTGGTAAAATGTATTAAAGCGAACACTTTATGTGGATGTTTTCCTCATTTTTCCAGTAAGTTTTACTAGTTTTATATGAAAAGGTACGGCGTTCTAGTTAAAATATTTAAAAATAGTACAACTGGGGTTTCTAATATAAGCACTGTAGCATAGTAGAAAAATACAGGTAGACTCCTCAACGCTTGGGAAATTTGATATGTCAAAAATTTTAAAATGTTTTTCAGAAATCAGTAGATTTTTATGTTTTCTTATACGACGACAATCGGAGGTTGTTATGATGTACATTTTTTTGACTGTTTTAACGAATTTAAATAACTTTTCATTCAAAATTTTTCATTCCAAAGTTGGTTTGACAGTTCATTGTCCCAGCAGTTGTGTCGATGCGACTGCCTGTATTCTTCTACCATGCACTGTGATCCATAAACTGACAAGAATTAAGATTGAATTACCTATTTGGTCAAACTTCAGACTTTGGACCCTAAAAAATTCTCTCTGCTAAAAATGTAAAATGTGGAACTATCAATGCGCTTAATTGATTTGTTGAGAACAAAAACTACCTATTTTCCTTGATGTTGGAGTAATTCGTCCGAGGACCGAACGCTTATTAATACATTCGACATTCAAACAAATGTCACAATTATTTTCATGTGAGTTGCACACTACAATCACCACCATATTAGCGACTCACCTTGCATATTATTTGAGAAAAATATGTATGTATTATGGTCAATGTAGCACATGTTTTAAGTAGGCATTTCGTAGTCTTGAGTAGATGTGTGCCTTTCAAGAGTGGACTGCTTACTGAGAACTATTACAGAAGTATTATTTCCCTTGACAATTCCATCATTAAAACGTGGGAGTTAAATGCCATTTTGTGTTACATTTTGTTGTAACCTTCGGGCATTTTGTCTCAGGTTAATATATTTGATAGTGCCTACCCCTGATTGTATACATTATAATCCATATAATATAAAGCACCCTTAAGATAAGTTTGTTGTGAATATACCCTTTTATACAACTATGTGCGGTTTACTTTCATAACCAACCGTGTGTCGCGTTGTCACTTTTCAGCACAAAACAAAAATTGGATCCTGCAGAAAAAATTTAGGACTAAAACAGGAATAAATCGAAATAAAAATGACAAAAACCACTGAGAAGCCACAATTTGTTGAGGAGGTATAAAATGTTAACACTAGCATTGTTTGATAACTCAAATCTTTCAAATATTGAGAGTCGTCGCAAACCACGTCATTTTTCTGCAAACTATTTCGTGCATCGAGAGACGTGTCGATGATTTTTTTCTGGCAGGTGTCAGTAAAATTTTGCTTACCTTTTGCAGGCCGTGAAAATAAACAAATGGGATGCCACTGCTGTTAAACATGCTCTGGATGATGCCGTTAAAAATGCCCTCTTCTCCACCCGTCCTCAATTGAAGGAACAATTTGGTTTAATCAATACCCGCTTGGTGTTTTGCATCCTGGCTGTTGGTGTTGCTGTTCTGGCCCATTGTTGGGACTTTACACATCCATTCCCCGAATCGAAACCCGTTTTAATGTTATGTGTTATTGCTTATTTTGCATTGATGGGTATTCTCACTTTGCACACCACATTCCGTGAGAAGGGCACCTTTGCCGTGGCCACCGAGAAGAGATCGAATGGTTCACAACGAACATGGGAAGCCAGTTCGGATATGCAGAAATATGATGATAAATATACTTTGGTGCTTTCCGTTAAGGACTCGAAATCATTGAGAGAAGCCACCAGTGTTAAATCATGTGCCTTCTTTATAGATTCCAATGGTTTTGTTGTCGATAAGCAAGTAGCCAATGAAGTTAATCGTTTATTCAACTCCTTGTCCGACGAAAGGAAAGAAAAATAGCTTGTTGATGAAGAGAGTTTGGTGACTATGCAGGATGAAAAGAATGAAGAAGAAAATAATTTAATGTTAGAAGAGATCATAACGACACAAACTTTGTGTGTTTAAATGATAAAGAAGAATGAAATATAATAAATGCTAAATAAAAAGTATTAAATATTAACCCGGTGATTACTTAAGTTTGAGTAGATGCATGCCTGAAACATCCTAAGAAAAAATAGTCCTTGACTAATACCAAAGATTCTACGGAAATCCAGATTCCAAATATGGGAAGGAACAACTGCAAATTGACTAAAACTGTTTTTAAACATAGATAAAATAACAAAAATGACATCGTGAGTTTACCATAAAATAGATATTATGCCTAAATATGCACCAGATTAAAATATTTTGACAAAGCATACCCAATTAGAATCTCAATAGAAAATAAATTTGGGCATTCAAAATGTCATTCAACATCTTATGTGTCAGGGTGGCTATACACTGTGATTGGAAATTTCGCTTTCTTAGTGAAAAATAATTAAGTCATAGCCCTCAGGTAACGGATTTTTCAAATTTTAGGGATTTTGAGCTTAGCTGATTTGGCTACAAACTACACTTTCGCAAAAAAGTGAACTTGTTTGCTCTGCTGAAATCCCAAATTCAAATTTTTTTGCGAAGTAGATTAGAATTCAATCAAAATTGATTAGAATTCTATTGAAAATTATTACAGTTTCATAGATTCTGTATTGAATTATGGGACTATATGGATATTTCTGTTTGCATAGATTCTTGCAGATAAATTACCTAAGTTAAAGATTTTCAGAATTGATTTTTGGATATATTTATATGTTAACAACTCATTCTGCTGATCTTCAAATAAACTACAAGGGTTGGGGACACCACAAATCAATATATTCAGATATAACAATTTTATTTATTTATTTTTATTTTTTTTTTTTTTCAATAAATGCTATTCTAGCTTAACATTTTATTATAATTCTTAAGAAATTATTCAAGTGTTGTATGCTCCACAAACCTCTCTATGATCGCTTTGCCAGACAGCAAAAAAAGTTCATTTAATAGGGCTCCTATGAAGGTTTTACCACTATCAAAGTCATAAGTGCTAAAACATGACAAAATTCTCATAGATCGAATTTGAAGAGTATAGCAAATGCTTGATTTTATTTCTTTTTAAATCTTCCGCGTTTTGATGATTTCGCTGAAGTTGAGCTTTCTGCGGCCTTAGGCTTCTCTTCATTATCTTCTGGGGAGGAGTTGGGAGAATTAGACTCACCTTTAGCCACAGATTTTCCCTTTGATTTGATGGGTTTTTCATCTTTGACTTTGCTTATGTCTTTAGTTTCTACTTTCTCATCATTCTCCTGCTCCTCTTTCTTGACTTTGTAGTCATCATCGGAAGTTAATTTAAGATATTTTGTAATATGCTCAACCATTTCACTGGCTTCAGGAAACTTTTGGGCTCTTGGAGTACGTTTAATGCCCGTCCATATAAGATTGCGTTGTTCAATCTCACTGGAGGGTGTTTCGCATATGGCCACCTCAAATGCTCCTCGCCTAGGTGGACCATCGAAATTTATGGATAATTGTAATTCTATTTTAGGTTTAAATGCTATTAACAAATTTAAGATTTCGCGGTGCAGTGCCTCTGCCCGCCTTCTAAATACTGATCAGGAACGGCAGCATTCTATGTAGAGAACTGGACAGTTTTCTTTCAGTTCTTCTGGCTCGGTTTTTGATTTTTTAGCAGCCGAGGAAGATTCCTGAATATAAGGAAATTAGTATTTTAAACAAAAAAAAGGAAAACTAACAATTGTTACCTTGCCAGTTGCGCCTCTTTTCCGTGGCATCGCTTTATACAACCTTTCATTCAAAACGATTGGGAATGAATGAAAATGATGCTTCGCAAATTAAATATTTACGCGCCTTTTTATTATGACGAAGCAGTGTTGCTTCTGAAGAGTTCCTTTAATTAAGGCGTTAAAATAATGTCAAATTAGTTTACCCTGTGTTTACACAGTGAAAAGAATATCAATGAATTTACAAATGTGTAATCCATGGCTAAATTGAGAAGGTAATCTCCACGGTAGAAGAATACAAATTTCAATAATTCTTCATTCATTTGACAGTTCATTGTCCAAGCAGCCGTGTCGATGCGACTACCTATATTCTTCTATAATGGTAATCTCATTTGCCAAATCGGTAATGACAATTCTTTATTATATAGGAACCCATAGATAGTTTAGATAAACATATTTATTGGAATTTACCCACATCTTCTCTGTTCCTGTACCTGCAATAATCTATTAGTTTTTCGATTTTTTTTTTGACGTCATCAAAGGAAAATCGGTTATAGCAGTAAAAACTCTTACATTCTTACAGTTGTGGAACAGACCAATTATTAGGATTTATTGCTTACTACATGGTAAAATTAAGAAGGTAAAGTCATTTCAAATAAGCATTCCCATCTCTGCCCATCCCATCTTACCTTGTCAAATTTCACTGCATAAATAACAAAAAATATAAGTTTTGACAGTGAGATGTTTTTAAATGAATTATTCGTAAAAAATTGTAAACACATAATTTCATGACTCTACCTTCTTAATTCTAACTTGGCTTACGATAACCGATTTGTACTTTATGATGTCGAAAAATATCAATGGAAAAATTGAATGGAAAATTTTTGCAATTTGTAAACATTTTTGAAAAAAGCACATCATAACAACCTCCAATTGTTTCCGTACTCAAAAAATGGAAATATCAATGTTTTCAAACTTTGATGCATCTACCTGTGTTCTTAGACCATGCTGTTACCCCTCCTGGAACATTAAAAAAATTGGAATTAATAGCGTTATCTAAAATCCGACGTAGCGTATACAAATATTCAACTTCCACCATGGTAAAATGTTTAGTACGTCCGTATTACCCAAATACGCCAGGTCCATATATTAGATTATAACAAAAAAGACGTTGTAAAAATTGGTACTAAAACACCTGTGACATTTACCAATTACAAAAAAAGTCTTTTGTATCATTTATTTCTATTTTCAACAACAAAAAAAGAAAATTTTCAATTGTCAGTGTTGAAAATATTCAACTTTGAAGTTTAGTACGACTGACGTATTTCAGTAACATTAAAATAAATGCATGTGTTTAACTTATAGTTAACGGGATTCATTTAAGTCGGTCTATTTAAATTACCACTTTCATTGCACTTATCTCCATGGTACAATAAAAAGGTAAGGTGAAAGATTGGACACTCTAGATCATATTTTTGAAAAAAAAAAAAATCAAGGCACTTCATTCATCTTTCGCTTTATTTAAGCCATTTTAAAAATGAATAAAAATTTGAAATAAATGATAACAACTTGTTGCATATAATTTTGAATAATTCTGTCAGGAAGCGGGCATAGCATCAGCACTTTATATCTGTAGTTTTACGAAGCGTTTCTACCTCCTTATTGCACCATGTGTATTATCTACAATGATATCAAGGTAGGGCTATGATACCATATGATTTTAATTTTTTTATTTTCTTGGCTTAATATGTCATCTTTATTTGTTTATGTATGTGTTTTCTTTTCAATAACAAAAAAATTGTTCAGAAAACTTCAAATTCGGGTTTTTTCAAAATGTTTATTTCAACGTATGCATCGACAAAATCTAGAGTTTCGGTACAAAAACTCTAGATTTTGTCGATGCATACGTTGAAATAAACATTTTGAAAAAACCCGAATTTGAAGTTTTCTAATAATCCTTTACAGATATATAGTACATGATTTTGAAAAGAAGTGTTGACCTTTCATTCAGTTATCGCGGTTTTCAATTATTTATTCAAAATAAATGCAACAAGTTGTTTTGATACTAATTCTGACATTACAAGCCAAACAGGTAGACCTCTATACTTGCAATTTTTTCAAAGTTGACATACCTACTCTTCATTGTACCATGTGTATTATATTGTTTTGAAAAATAAAAACTAACATTTTTGGATAAAATCCAGACATTTCAATCATTTTTCGCGCTATTTAACTCATTCTAAAAATGAGGAAAAATATGGAAAAAATGAAAATAACTTGTTGTATACATATTTGAATGAGTCTGACTTGAAGCGGGCATAGCCTCAGGGCTGAATTTCTATAGTTTTATGAAGCTTATTGTACCGTGCTTATCTCCAATCATGGCAGAAGAATATAGGTAGATGCATCAACGCTTGAGAACATTGATATGTCAACATTTTTTAAATCTTTTATAAAAAATAACTAGATTTTTAAATATTTTTTTTACGACGCCAGCAGGGGGTTGTTGTGCATTTTTCAACAATTTTTACAAATTTCAATAATTCAACATTTTCAATTCCAAAATCAGTTTGACAGTTCATTGTCCTAGCAGCTGTGTCGATGCGACTACCTGTATAATTCTACCATGTCTCCAATAAATACTTATGAAGAAGGTTAACTCAGCAAAAGTTCTATGTAAACATATCAGAAGAGAATAAACTTTACAAAACATATGCTATCATGCGGTTATTATTAATCTAAAAGACACGAAATTTAAACAGGATCTACTAAATGAAGTGAAGACTTCGTAAATAATCTATAAACAAGGCAACATATATATTACGCCTATTTGGCATCTTGTGCCGCAGTAATTCCCCACTCCCATCTCTGCCCCCTTACTTGTGATTTCACCATGCACGTGTCAAGTAGAGAATTCATATGACATTCTCACCACTTAAATGTCATTCTCGACATGGCTCTTTTTCGTTGAAGTTCTGCTTATATGAATGTTACCAGCAAAAATTTACCCATTTTTCGGAGTGTCGGGAATTAAAACAACAATAAAAGAGTAAATTTTCTGTAAATAAAGAAAACAAAGTAAACTTTCAGTCAATTTTATTTAAAACATTGACTCCGAATCGGACGTATTTCGTGACTGAAAAGGAAATTTCGTGCGTTCGATAGTGTCGCGGTGTGTGTGAGTGTGTAAATACGACGGAGCAGCAGAGCACTGAGCAGTGTGCAGTAGCAGTACAACAAGAGTAGATAGAGCAAGCAGAAATCAAAGCACAGTAAAATGGGTAATGTTATGGCAGCATCGTCGACGCCGAGCAGCGCTGCGGCATCACTGGATAAAGCGGCTAAATCAGGAGTACCTGCACCACCAACTGCCCCAGCTGGACTTGCAGCTGTGGACGCACCGGCGGTCGATGTGAAACTTGAGAATCCAGGCACCCTCGAAGAATTGCATAAAAAATGTAAAGGTATGTCTTGTAAAAGGGGAGCAAAGGTAATCGCTCGATATGGGGGTTATTGTTGCCTCGCTGCTGATGACATAACCTACAACATGTGTAGAAAATACTTTATTATGGAACTCTGAATGAAACTTTGTGAAATTTATGTAATTTTACAAATGATTGACCATTTGTTGCAGATATCCAGGCAATGACCTTTGAGGGAGCAAAGGTAATGCTGAACAAGGGCCTTAGCAACCACTTTCAGGTTTCGCACACGCTTAACTTGTGCAGTACACAACCTAGCGGCTATCGATTTGGAGCCACTTATGTGGGTACCAAACAATACAGTCCCTCGGAAGCTTTCCCCGTGTTGTTGGGAGACATAGATCCATCGGGCAATTTGAATGCCAATGTTATTCACCAATTCTCACCCCGCATACGTTGTAAATTTGCCTCGCAGGTTTGTAGTATTGAGTATTATCTGTTTTTAATTATGCCTTATTATTTATTGTTTTTTTTTTTTGCTTGTTTAAGGTCCAAGAATCGAAAATTACCGTTGCCCAGCTAACAACAGATTATCGCGGTGATGATTTTACTGCCTCCCTTACCATTGGCAATCCAAATATCTTCAACAATTCTGGTGTTTTTGTTGGCCACTATTTGCAATCGGTTACCAAGAACATTGCTTTGGGCGCCGAATTGGCCTATCAGTATGGTCCCAATGTTCCCGGTGGACAAATTACTGTACTTTCTGCTGTGGGTCGTTACACTAGTGGTGATTCAATTTGGTCTGGTACCTTGGGTCCCGGTGGTGTACACATTTGTTATTATCAAAAAGCCAGTGAACAATTACAAATCGGTGTTGAGGTCGAGACCAGTCTGAGAATGCAGGAGTCTGTCGCCACCTTAGGTTATCAAGTGGATTTGCCAAAAGCTGATCTCGTTTTTAGAGGTATGTAGAATAAGATGCAATGTGTGTTGTTAAATGAAGTGCTTTAAAGACTTGTAGAAAACTTTCAGTTTATAGGAGTCTAGTAGAAGGTTTCTTGTTACAGGGGACCCTTTAAATTCTGCTATTTAGTGGAGACCTGGTCATGTAGTGGGTTAAGTGGAGATATACCAGAAGAAATGTGTATATAAAGTTGGTATTCTATTTAAGCATCGCTTGAGGAAGGTTTTCTAGGCGGAGAACGCATGCAAAGGTCCTCTATTTAAATAACATTTGGAAGGTTGGCATAAGAAGAAAATTAATTCATTCGTAGAAGTCAGGCATAAAGCTTCTACCTATGTCACATTTAAAACAGTATCAAACTGTGGATATCGAAAGAAGTATATATAAAGACGTTTAAGGGGTCTACCGTTTGTCGAATACGTGTAGGAGATTATTTGTTTTTTTTTTTAAGTCCTGTAGAATGTCATGTAAATTTCGTAGACACGTAGAAGACAATTTATCTGTCGGTCTAAAAAAGATCTGTAGCTTATATATATTTGGAAGGCATGTGGATGTCTTACAGCCCTTTGAAGAATTGGGAAATTTGAATATGTTCTACCCTTAGAGGAGCAATTAATTGATTTATATGAACAGAAAATCTATGGAATATTATCTTTTTAAAAAATGAGAACCCTGATCATGTTATTTTGCTTGCTGGTAACTTTTATGGATGGACTATATGAGGGACTCTTTTAATAGTACATACGAAAGTTTCTCACTTATAGAATATAGAAGAAATGTATGAAGTCCTTTTTATTGAAGAGCTATAGGTATACGGCACATAGAAGAAGTGCAGGAAACTAAATTTCTATGATATACGTATGACAGGTTAGTTATTTAAAAACATAAATGTATTTAAGATTATTTTTATTATTCATGTCTTTTATTTATAGATGACTTGTTTATTTTCTAAAGAAGGGTTTCATTATTCAGAAAATCTGTAGGATTTTTATTATTCCAATTTGAAATTGAAACTGTTGTCAAAACCGTTTCGACGGCTAGAGACATTGAAATTATTTTAATTTAAATTGATATTTTGCTCACAATTTTCTTTATTTCAGGTTCCTTCGACACCAACTGGAATGTGTGCGGTGTATTGGAGAAACGTTTGCAGCCATTGCCATTTTCATTTGCATTAAGTGGACGTTTGAATCATACCAAAAATCAGTTTAGATTAGGATGTGGACTTATTATTGGTTAACCGTAAAACCTGAAAATACACAGAGCAATAAGGAATATGGTTAAGTCTTTAATAAAACTACAACAATGAAAACAAAAAAGTACACAAATTCACCAGAAGCAGAAATTAATTCAATATAATTTAGATAAATCTGAATACCTATGAGAGAAAAAAAATACAAAAATGACAATGCTTCCTTCCACAGAAGAAAAAAAGAACAACAAACTACATCCAATAAAATGCAAATCATTGGAAAAACCATTAGAATTTTCATGAAAAACCCAAAATATTCGTTTGCTTTTTTGTCGAGATTAGAAATTTGGCTAAAGAAAAAAGAAATAATGTAGTTTTGTTCTGGTATCGAAATATAGCAACACAAAACATGTACAGACGCTACAGTTTGATCTTTGGTTACTTTGAACTTTAAATATTGTGACTATTCTTATCCAACAGCCATCAACACCGCCAATTTGTTTTTTATGATAATTTTTGTTTTAGTTTTTTTTTTATTAAGGATTATTGTTTATCCTTATGAAGTAATGTTTTCTATATTGCATTTGTTTAGGTTTAATGTAATACAACAATTTGCCGAAAATTATCCTTGTTTTTTTCTCAGCTCATTTTGCAAATAATTACCTCTAAGCCATAATCCGATCCATCAATAGTAGATTTTTGGTAACCCAAATATTTTCCATTGTTGTTTGCATCAAATTCAAATTTCATTTTGACTTTATGCCTCCTCCAAGTTTTTTTTTAAATAGTTCCTTAAAATATTTTTTATTTCAATCAATACCTTCATTACCTCCAATTAACGATCTTTTTCCATTTGAAACATTATAAAAACATTTTTTTTAAACTTACATACACAACATAACAAAAACACTGCTAACAATTGAAATTGTTACTAAATTTATAAAAACAGAAAATGATTCGTAAAGTATTTCTAAAATATGAATTTTCATATTTCGGAATCACCCTAAATTTTCTTCAATATATTTTGAAATACTACTCTTTTAGACATATTCATATTGCCATTAAGTTTATGCAAACTTATCTGGTTTTTTTAACTATTTTGCTTAAGCAATATTCTTTCTTTTTTAAACAATTCATAGCCATTAAGTTATTATTATTAGTTAACAACAATCGGTAGTAGTTTTAATCAATATATTATAAATGAAAATTTAAAACCGAAATAAAGTGTTTTGTTGACCAAAAAACCAAAAAATAAATGCAGTTTAATTCAATAAATTTACTTCATTGCAATATCTTTTTTGAACCGCTTATCTTTGACAATGGTTCCATGTGTTGAAATCTTGTTGGAAAAGGGATTTGATATTGGAAAAAAGAATGCTCAAAATTTATTCTGGAGCTTCGTGAAAATGTTACAGCATAGATTGCCATTCGATTTTTAACAAAATTGTATTCTTTGTATCAAATCTTCCAATTTTTCTCATCCGATTCAGACATTTGGATGGATAGATATGGATTTTTCTCTTTCCGCTCAGATGAAGTCTACCTTCCCGTTCTTATAATATGGAAAACATAACACGGATATTATTTTTGTGATTATCTGCCGAAGATAGATATAAAAAGTGTCTAGAAGAAACTTTCAGTGCAATTTCTTCAAAACAAAATTAACAGTTCAACAAATTTTGAGATTTTGTGCTATACTTTTTCAAAAGAGGTAGTTACTGAGTCAGCATGTAAAAGTCGAGACATAATCCATCACAACACAGGGTCTTTCAAACTTAATACGGTTTTTTTATTTCAAGTATAGATGTCACTGGGAACGTTAATGAATTTCCTTTGAAGCGACACAACTTTGTCCGGGGTTAACCTTCTTTATGAAGATTTATTTCAGGTATAGGCAATGGAATTGACAATTTAAACCGACAATTTAATCCTTTACAACATAAATAAATAAATGTACTATTAGACGAACTGTTTATTGGTCAAGCTATCGCCACACCTCAGCATTGTTTTGGCAAATCCAACAATTATGAATTAATTAAAAAAACATGTAAAAAGGTCAGTTGGTTTTGCCGACAGAGGGTGAGATAAAAAACAGCAACAATGTCAAACGCCATATTTTTACATTTTTGTTAAATTGTATTGAATGAAAGCAAAAAATGTCGGAAATGGTATCAAATTTTAGAATAAATTTAGATTTGTTCGAATTTGCCACGTATGGCACGAATCAAAAGGCCAATGAAACCGTCACACGCTGCCCAAATGTTGCTCTGCGGTATTTTTGCCCATTCCTGGCGAGCCGCTTGTTTGAGGTGATCAACACTTTAGTATTTTTTAGCGCCAACCTTGCTTTCCAAAATACTCCAGACACAATAGTCCAACGGATTGGTATCCGGAGATTTTGGTGGCCATAGTGCGCTGTAAATGAAGCGAGGAACCTCATTTTGTAACCATTCTTGGGTGGCGCGTGCTAAGTGCGATGGTGCTGAGTCCTGTTGGAATGTCCAAGGTCTGCGGCCAAAATGTTTGCGTGTCTAAGGCTTTAATACACCCTCCAGAATATTTTCGCGTTAATATTCGGCATTTAATCTGATGCCACGGTCGTTTATTACGAGCGGAGAGCGACCATCGGCTGTTATGGCGGCCCACACCATCACCATGCCCGGCGTTTGAGCTCTGGTGTCCAACCGAAGGTGCACATTTTCAGCTGACCTCTTTGGCAATGAAACACGATCGTTTTGTTTGTTTACAAGTTGCTAGACAACGAATGTTTTCTCATCGAAGAAAACCAAATTCGGCATTTCACCACTTTCGGCCAAAGGAAGCAACTCTTTAGCTCTTTTGAGTCTATTTTCTTTCTGTTGCGGTGTAAGTATTTGCACTTTTTGGAATTTCAATGGCCTCAACCCCGAGCTCATTTTTCAATATTTGTCGAATAGAATATTGTGATATGTTCAGCTCACGAGCCATTTTTCGGCCACAGCGACGCTGGTTTCAATCAAGTCGCTTCTTTACTTTTCGAACCAATTCTGCTGATGTTGCTGTTTTCTTCCGTCCACTTCCTTGATGTCGGGAAGTGAACGGAACGAGCGATGGTACGAGACATAAAAGATTTATTCACATTTAAATGCTGGAATGCTCTAACGATAGCCACATGTGGTTTTCCAGCCAAATATAAAGAAATCACACTATCACGTGTGAATTCCATCTCGAATAGCTATTTTTCTGGAAAATTCTCACCAAAATGCTTTTGTACGTTTGTAAATAATATAATGAGCTGTCACTGGATTAATTTTAACTGCTGTCGGACGAGTGACTTAGAAATGACAGCAGTCTGAAGTTGGTTGCAGGTGTTTCATCTCACCCTGTATAGACCTGAATTGTTTGAAATTTCTTATTTGAAGTTCGTAATGGATACTTCAATCTATAACAAACAAGTAAGCAAAGGCTATAGCCGTGCGGGGCCGACCATGTGATACCCTACAACACTACAATATGTTCGAAGTCCTATTATATCCAAATCCATTTTGGAAGATTTCGTTTTTGAAATAATGTCAAAGAGCACCGCCCAGAGATCACCCTTAGTTTTTTGACCCGGAGAATTTGGCCAATATTTAGGCACTCCGTAGTGTTGTTAAGTATTCAAAACAATTTCACACGAAAGTTGAGGTCCATTTTACAACCAAATCCAATGGTCATTCAAAATGCTCGACTTTTTCCCTGTCCTTAAATCTCTTCTGATGCGAAATTCCATGTCGAGCGACTACAAAATTAGAAAAATATATTTTTTTATATTCCATTTGCACCTCTAAATGTACATCTTAAGAACAATAGGCTTTAATTTTGACCCCAACCCTACTCGTGAGGATCGGTTCATAATTGCGATCTGTAGCTTGATAACAAATTAACATGGACAGACGGACGGACGGACATAAATAGCTAGATCGACTCATCACGGCGAAGAAGATCCATACATACTTTCCTATGTGGGAAACCAATATTTCGAGGTGTTACATAACTTATAATACCCCCAATCAAACTTATAATACCCCCAATCAAACTTATAATACCCCCAACACATAGTGTTGTAGGATATAAAAATTGTCTATGCAGGTCCACGTATTCGTATACCCCACTTATAACCGTGCCTCCCCTTTTTCCGCATTATAATGATATTAGCGACATTATTCAACGGAATTGTTTTCAAATTTATTTAAAGGGCCTAATGGTTCTCGTCTTTGTATATCCGCCATATAAAGGTTTTATTTAAAAGGTATTTTCCACCTTGGAAAGGATGGTATATTAACTTTGTCATTCCGTTTGTAACATCCTTAAATATTCGTCGTAGAACCCATAAAGCATATATATTCATAATCAGCATAAAATTCTAAGTCGATTTAACGAAGTCCGTCCGTCTGTGTGTCTGTTGAAATCACGATACAGCCCACATCATTTGACGTAGAGCGCCAAAATTTAGCAGAGCAATTGGTATTGGATGGTTGGTATTGAAAATGAGATATATCGGTCCACGTTCTGGTATAGTCCCCACATAACGGTACCTCCCGATATTCTGTATTTTGATGATTTATGCCACATTTTTTTTACGGATTTGTCTGAAAATTGGTATTTGTAGGTCATAACGGGTCTTTGTACGTGTGGCAAAACATTGCATGTATAGGTCCACGTTTTGGAATAGCCCCTATATAATGGTACCTCCCGATATTCGGTATTTTGATGATTTATGCCACATTTTTTTTCACGGATTTGTCTGAAAATTGGTATTTGTAGGTCATAACGGGTCCCTGTACGTGTGGTAAAACATTGCATGTATAGGTCCACGTTTTGGTATAGCCCCCATATAATGGTACCTCCCGATATTCGATATTTTGATTATTTTTGCCACATTTTTTTTAACGAATTTGTCTAAAAATTGGTATTTGTAGGTCATAACGGGTCCCTGTACGTGTGGCGAGTCATTGTAATTATAGGTCCACGTTTTGGTATAGGCCCCATAAAAACGGTACCTCCCGATATTCGGTAATTTGATAATTTTTGCGTATTTGTCTGAAAATTGGTATTTGTAGGTCATAATGGGTTCTAGCTCCGTTGGCGAAACCTTGCATGCGTAGGTCCACGATTTGGTATAGCCCCCATATAACGGTACCTCCCGATATTCGACATTTTAATGGTTTTTGCCACATTCTTCTAATGTGGAGGTTATTAAAAGTTTGGCCCGGCCGAACTTAATGTTTTTTTACTTGTTTTTAAATATTCAAGTTTCTTCCTGATTGTAGAGGGCATTAAAAGTTCGTTTTAC